ATAAAAGTCATCATTAGACGATTTAAAATTTACGAATTAACATGATTGTTAGTTTCAAGACCTCTTCATTCAATAAATTCGAAGACTTCGATTTATTGAAGGCGTGTGGTGAACAAAATTTGCCGTTACTTTACTGCTCAATTAATTTAATTAGGCAGATATAAATATCGCTAAACTTACTCTGGGACCTGGATATTTATTTATTTATATCAAATGGGAGGCGTTTTGATAGTTATCATTAGCCCTGGAGCGGACTTCGGGGCTTACCAGAGAGGAGAAGGAACATCAAAGTGGCAAAAAGTCGAGAGGGGAACAGAAGAGTGATACACAGGTGTAAAAGAGACAGACAGACACAGAGTCATAAAAAAGGTAAAATGAGTTCTGTGAAAGGGGTCGAATACGACAAATAGTCGGGCCATAGTAGATTGAAGTGAGATGTCAACTTCCGATCAATAGACTTTTTTGCCGTATAAGTATACGTATAAGCGCCTTACCTTTCACTATCTCTTAGCTTTCTTTTCCAAATTTTAATGTCTTCCTACGAATTAAAAATAAATGTACTAATTGTTACATTATTGTTGGTAAGAAACAGGAGTAAAAATGTTCATATTTAATTTGTTTGAAGCTAGATGTTTAAAATAAGAAGATTCAGCAATTCTAACAATTAGGCGCCATTATACTTGGAGTGCTTTCGAAAAATTGCACAATTTGCTTATTAAGTAAAAGTTCTACTGCATATCTGTTTATCAATTATCATGACTGGTTTATCGATTTTAACCTCAAATTATTATTTAAGCTTATCCATTATAATGTTCCAAACCACTCCTTTGATCTTCATTTATAACCGGCTTATGCTACTTATAAAGTGTATAAAGTGTTATGGTTATATTTTATTGGGCCCTTGGGAATAGGATAAGGTACTTATAAGTTAATTATTACCACGGAACTTGTGAGCATGCCTTTCCTGACTGACAGTATATTTGTTAGCATGTCATAAAGATACAAGAAAGTACCAAAACAAAAGACAATGGAGCCTTGTCACTTCAAATACACAGTATTTTAATTCAGAAATTGAATTCCAAAGCCACGAAGACAAATGTCCAAATATAATTCCATTCTTTTCATTACCCACATTTCATAGGAGGTTTATTTATATCAATTGATGGGCGTTTTGATAGTTATCATTAGCCCTTCAGTTGACTTTAGGCTTCATAGAGAGGAGGGGGAACATCAAAGTGGCAAAAAGTCGAGAGGGGGGGTTTAGAAGAGTATTTCAAAGATGTAAAAGAGACAAATGCAAAGGTAGAATAAAGGTGAGGTGAGTACCGTGAAAGTGGCCGAAAACGACATACAGTGGGGTGGTGGTAGTTTGAAGTCAGAACTCAATTGCTGGTTAATAGACATTTGTCCCGTATAAGTATATGTTGCCCAGGGTGCACCACGCTCACCCCATGAGTTCTTAATAAGCCTTACTCATTTCAGTCTTAGTATGTCCTTAATTTTATTTCGCTTAATTAAATAGACCCTTGCAATCTTAAAGTCATAAAAGTGTTTACTTACATTGGTAATAACCCTTGCATTGACCCTGTTAGGTGGTCATACTCATTCTTTCTGTGTGTGTGTGTGTGGGCATGCAACATAATTACATTCCCGCGCTCCAGAATTCGGTTTCATTTAAACAATGCGAATGACGGTACATTATTTATTGCCAATAAAGAGCCAGTGTCTTAAATGCTAAAAGGTTTCATTACTAAAAGAAGAAATTACTTCAATCGAGTGGATCTGGTAGCGGATTTGATAGCCTGAAGATTAAATTGATGTTCGACTTGTGTATTAATTAATATGTATGCTTTAATAACTCATTTATTCTTGTGGTGGCTTGAAACATTGCGTTCATCTCTTAAATAGATTAAGTCAATCAAAGTTTGTCAACCTGATTTGTATAAGCAAAAAGCAACTGCTAGATGTACTTGAAAAAATAAAGTACACTAGAGGGTAAATGGGACGGGTTCAAAGATTTTAGAAGACATCGTATAGAAAACAATGAGTCTTTCGGCATTAGATCTTTGGGTTCGAGTTGAACAAAAGTTAGCTTTTCAATTCGTCCCTCAATTTGTGGCAGACGTTTATCCCCGATGGTCAATACTTATAAATCGGTATTTTTAATTAAGAAAGAAGGGTCCTCCCCATTAAAGTCATTTTTCTCCTAACTGTTTCAAGGTTTACAAGTTTGAAGTTGCCAATTATTTTGGCTTAAAGTTGGTCATGCCCTCTTAATTTCATTTGTATTTTCTGCTACTTGACTGGAAATGGAACGGTCTACAAAATTTAAAGGAATGACATTTTAAGGAAAGATCTGAGCGCAAATCATTAGCCTCTATCCGACTTCGGGCTTCACAGTGGGGAGGGGCATCAAAGTGAAAAAAAATATCGAGAGGAGGAACTGAAAAGTGATTCACAGATGTAAAAGAGACAGACAAAGAGGCACAAAGGCAGAGAAATGATAAGATGAGTATTGTGGAAGTGGTCGAATATGGCATACAGTGGGCTCAAGGTAGTTTCAAGTTAGAAGTCAACTGCCGGTTCATTGCCTTTTTGCCGTATGAGTATGCGTTACTCAGGGTGCACCCCGTGGGGGTAAGTCCATCGCACACTCCTCACTTAAAGCATATTGCTAAATCAAATTATCGAACAATGTATTTTACTTTACTTCTCGAGTAAGAGGCTATTGAATATGGCCACTTCCTAACAAGATATTTAAAGCACACGTTAAGTCCAATGCTAGTCTCTAAGCTATGAAATTAATTAATTTTAAATCATTGCTAGTATTTCTATCTTAGCTAAATGCGAGATGACGATTTGTAAAGCCGAATGAAGGGCAAACGGATATGCCTTATATTCTAGGCGGATGACATTTTCTATATTCTTGCTGTAAATGCAATATTAAAATTAGTGGCTTCCATTTATTTAATAAGAGTATAAATTTTGCTACTTAAAATAATTAAGTAGATGTGTAATTAGAAATGAATTTATCAACACTGCCTAAATATTTGGAAAGCGAACCTGCACAACAATTTCCCCAGGCGAGATTCAATTTTAAAAAAACTTTGCTTAAAGATCCAATGTAATATTTCAATTTAAAATCCAGTAATCTTGCACATTAAGGAAGCGCCATACCCTTAGAATTATCCAATAAAAGCTTGTAGTAATCAGGTCCTGGTAGACTAGATCTACTCCTATGAACCATTGGGACCTGGGCGCTGTCGTAATACACAAAAAACCACTAAAAGCCCTATCGTTTAACCACCTCTTAGAAATAATAAACCCAGTTCTTTTGGCGGCTCATTGCAATGTATCAAAGCCAAGACAGAAAGCCAGATGATAAGCAACATTAGATGAACAAAAGCTTATTTGAAAAAAACTCTATCAAAGAAAAAAGCGCGTTTATAAGTTAAAGAAGAACAAATACATTCAAAGAAATGGTATCAATATACACAACGGTTTGGATAAGGAGGGGATTCACACAAAAGTATCAAAATAAGAGTCTCTTTTTACACAGCGCATTGGTTGTAGTTAGAAGTATTCACCAATCTAACACCACACATAGCACAGATGCCCTTTTTGAATGCACAAGATTGACAATAATAGGCCTCTGGTTGATGCACACTCTGTCCACAAATACGACATTTTTTGAAAGATGCAGAATGAGGATTGTAGCGACCTTTACCGCCAGTCAGGAGTTTGTTCTCATTTAGACGTTTCTTTGCTTTCATTCCAGCACCACGAGAACCCACTTTCCAGGGATCTGGTGTCGCAATCTTGACCAACTTCTTTTCACCTGAAAAACATAGTGTTTAAGGTTAATATACAGTATATTTTTGAAATATTCTCGACATAGGGCATTATAACACACTGGGACGACGTACAAAAGACACAGAGACCATTCATCAAATAAAACTGATTAAATGCCTTTAAGATATGGGGATGGACATCATACTCAAGAAGTCTTGTCTCAAAAAGTCTGATATATGGAAAGACAATGAGAGCCTAGAAGCCACAGACATAAAATGGCAAAATTGGATATTTCAAAAAAGGAAAATATAAATGTACAAATTCAAGAGCGGATCATCGAAGAAGGTAAACAAAATTAAGTTTCCAAGTATTCCCATTTTTGGGTCGTTAATCAACCAATGCAATCAGTCACTTAATCAACAAATAATATATTCCAGCACAAATAATAAATAACCTACAGAAAAAATTCTTTAAGGTGACGGGGCTAATGCAAAAAGCTAGTATTAGTGACAATAACTAGACAAGCTTAAAAGAAAATAAAAAGCTCATTTTAATATGATTTTAAGGACTCGTTCAAAGTGGTATTAAATGCTAAAAATATATAGAAGATATAAAGGAAGCTAATCAAAACAACTGTAACGTCTAAGAGACTTAACCCTCGTTAACAACGGCGTGAAATACGAGAAAGGAAATGCACAAGAACACAAGAAGATTAATAGACACTAATGCGACTTAATCAATGAGCATGAATGAATGAGATCCGCTTTTGAAGGAGAAATAGAGGCCATTAGGATAGCCCTATACCAATTATATTGCCTGGATACGAAATTCACCAATGCGGTGATACTTTCGGACTCAAAGTCAGCAATAAACTCTATTGGAAACAGAGAGCCACCCAAAACAGCTGAGATAAAGGAATGTAGAAAACTCTATCAGCTGCTGAGAGAAAACAAAACAGTGGTACTACAATGGATTCCTGGTCACTGTGGCATTAAAGGCAATGAGCTAGCTGACACACTTGCTAAGAAGGGGACAACGATTTTGTAATGCATGGACCGGCCGATGTCTTTCCCCACAATGAAGACCTTAATCAGAAGAGAATTCCAGACCTAAAGGTGCAACGAACTTAAAGCTCGAACAAAGGAGAAACAGTGGACAGTGGCACTCTCCGACATACCCGACTGGCCAAGAATCGAAGCCGTTGCTGAGTTCAGACTACGTACCGGACACGATTGCTTGGCAAAACACCTTCACA